GTCTTGATTTAAAGGAACTTTCCGCACTTTTACAGTTTTCTGGAAGTTTGTTCCAGATAAGTGGAGCATAGGAACTAAATGATGCTAAGCTAATGAGCTGCCTAGCGTGCATCATATGCGTGAAAGAGAACAGACACCATTCATTTGTCGCTGGCTGTCAATCTATGTAATTGGAGAGCATCAGTCAACACATGCACAGTAAACGCCCGATTGGATGGATGTCCATGTCACAGGCTTAATATAAACAACCCATGCCACAGCCTCTATGAATGCGCTAAACACTATATCAACACATACACACAAAGATGAAAATATTGTTTTGCACTGCCCATGCAACTGGAAGAAAGGCTATGCTTTTATTAATGGACAATCTGATGCTGTTTTTGAATGGTTTTATTTAGACCATTTTATCAAATAAAAGTATTTTGTACATTTTTGAATGAAATGTAATGACATTCTAAACTACAACTTTTATTTAATAAAAATAAATTACCTTTTACTGTAACCATGTTTTTAATGTAACATCATGTCTTAGTGATAAATATGTTCCTTAAAAATATGAGAGAAAATTTAAATTTTTTTCTGGCCCGGTAAATAATTTCTCTTCCGGTCCATTTGGCCGGTGAGTCAAAAATTTAATTTCTAACACTGCCTACAAACGTCTCTTACTGGACTGTAAATATCAAGCACAAGACATTCTAAGCCACCAGTATTTAAAGGTCATCACTATAACTTTTTAAAATCAATTGAATTATTTACAAAAAATATTACATCCACCAAGCATCTAGTTTGGTGAAGAAAAAAGTAATAATTTTACATAAAATTGTTCTGTAAATTTTTATTGACTCTTTGAATTATTATTAAAATATTCTGCACCAATATGAATCGTAGGTTGAGGTCATTGAAGGTCCTAGTAGCTCCATCATAGCATAAGAAATGGCTACTTCTCGGCATAATATTTCTCAGATTTAATAAAAGAAATAAGAGAAAAGGGAATAAAAATGAGGGTAAACAATGATCAAGCTTTTGAGCATTGGTGCTAACTTAACTTGGTGCCCTTTGAAGCCCAAACCCCTGTAAGTGTTTTAATACAGTGCTACTGTATATAGGACATATTGTCACCACAAAACAAAATGTTCACTAGATTATCACTTTTTAGGGGATTAAGGTTTTTTTATGCACCTCACTGTGCACTACAACAAATTACTCAAATGTAGCAACTTCAGGCTGAATATAAAAATAACAGATACAGGAAAAACATTTAGCTGATATCCAAATAAGAACCTGTGGCATCTAATCATTCTAAACATTTTATGCAATGCAAGTGAAGTGATACATTAAAAGGTGACATTCTCAACAGCTAAACCTGGCACGGCTTGTTACCGAGGTATACATCAGAACAACTCACAAATGGTTTAGAAATGTTTTATTCTAAAGTGTGGATTAACTAAAAAAGTATTTACATTAACACATGTTAGCTATGCCTACAGATATCAGCGAATTCACTAAAAGAAATCAAACCAAATCTTTAGCAGCTTTTCACAAATATTCATATATTTTTAAACATAATAAAGAGGAAAAAAATCATATAATTTTGTCATATTTATGATTGAAGCTTAGAGTTCTTACAAAAATGTACAGAACTATAACTTGGGTGCATCAAAGAGGGACAAGAAGTTGAGTACAAAGAGCTGGTTTACCTCTTTATGATATGGTGTTGAAATAATTATCTGATCCTAAATGTCGATAAACAAGGGAGGTGATTGTAAATTTTAGAAGGAACAGGAACAAGTTGAATCCTGTTACCATCGTGGGAAAAGAAGTGGAGGTGGCGGAGGAGTATAAAAACACCTTGGTGTTCACCTGGATAACAATCTAGACTGGAGACACAAATGTGAAGCAATCTACAAGAAGGGAAAGATGACCTTTAAATGTTGGTGATTTAGAATGTCTTGTACTTCCTAAAGAAGCTTTGGTCTTTCAGCCTTTGCAGCAAGATGCTACATATCTTCTATAGGTCTTCTGTGGAGAGTGATCCCTTCTTCCATCCTCTGCTGGAATAACAATATTAGTTAGCTAGTGATATAAAAAAGCTCAACAAGCTAATGAAGAAGGCCAGCTCTGTTCTAAGGAACTCCTCTAGAACCTCTGGAGATTATTTAACAAAGAAGAATACTTCCTAATGTGAAAAAAAAGATTATGGACAACTGTGAGCATCTCCTTCAGAAGATTTTTAACCAACAGAGGGTCTTCAGTAAATGGCTTCTCCAGATCCGGTGCAAGATGGACCACTAGAGAAGATCCCTCCTGCCTACAGCTATCAACACCTACAGCACCTGTTTAAAAAATAACCTATGAGTTACTGCAACATTTAATTTCCATTTGGGAATAATAAAGTATTTTTGAATTGAATTGAATTAAACTCTAAAACCCTTATAGGTGCTGTACCATAATTTTTGTGTAACTACTCTTATGTTTTAGCTGTGTTAATTTTCTTTATTGTCTGTTCTACTGTGATAGGCCATTTTTCTTAACTCACTCTTATCTTTATCTGTTGACTGAAGGTTGGAGACATTTTGGAAGTAGAAGAGGATGAGACCTTTCCCTGTGATTTAATTCTACTACAGTCCAGTCGAGAAGATGGCACATGTTTTGTTACAACAGCAAGTCTGGATGGCGAGTCCAACCACAAAGTGAGACTCATGGCTCTCTATCTCCAACTACCTTTTAATCCACATCCCAGCCCTAAAGTTTAAATTTTAATTCTTAGAATTAGAGGCAAATAACAGTCATCAAAGTTCTTGAAAAATGTGAATTATCTGGTTGAGACAAGCATCTTTTACGTATTTTTATTTTTATTTTTTTAGACATGTTGCTTTACTCTGTATTTTTACCTTTCCTGTTTTTGTTACAGCATCTCAGTATGTTTTATTTGCACACATTTCTTCTTTTTCGTAGTGAGATAGAGAAAATTAAGCAAGAATTATCATTTGACCTAAGTCAGTTTTCACAGTTTTTATTCTGTCGTTGTTTTACCTTCTAGACACACTACACAGTGCCAGATTTAGAGAGTGATCTGCAATATCTTAATGCCACCATCGAGTGTGAACAGCCTCAACCTGACCTTTACAAGTAAGTCACTCACCATGGGGGTCACAGCAGATTAACACTGCCAGCGTATGATGTCTGCACTGTGTTGGATTTACACAGTGCTGTTTGAATGTTTGAAAATAAGATAAAGATGACACATATGGAGTTGAAACCAGATATTTCAGTACATCTGATATAAAAAATGTGTGAACATTTTATATATCTCTGTCTTGCATTAAATCCAATCAAAATGTTCTGTATTAGGTCTGTTAGGATTAACAAAGAATATTTCTCTTTACTAGATTTCAGAAAATTATTTGTAACTTAATTGCAGAAGCTTGTATCCTTGGTATTTTGCACAATTTTCCTTTCAAAACTTATAGTTTTGGTCAGCCATGTTGACTTTCTTTCTCTATATTGGTTTGAATTTTAACCAATTCCTTCTTATAAAATTGATGTGGCTGAATCATGTTTTAGGATGTTTGACCAAAATAGAGTTTTATCTTTGCTAAGAATTATCTGTGATTGACCTGTAACTTCCTGGCTGAGTTCTACTGATGTTTCTTCAATATTTCATGAAATTTTCTCTCCTTGTAATGCAGTCTACTTTGTAAAGGGAACTCACCCTTCTTGCAGGGCAAAAAACAGTCACAACATAATACTACCATTTCCCTATGTTACAGTTGGAAAAATGTTCTGAAGCTTGCATGCTTCCCTCTTTTCTTAAAATACCATCCTTTTACTTAAAATTTAGTAACTGTAATTAGAGCCAATCATCTTCATTTCAGTTTCATCAGAACAGAGGGCATTTCTCTAGACATTAAAGTCTTTGTTTTTGTCTTTTTTTATGTATGAAAACACATTTATCTCTTGGACACAACCTGTGTTCTTCCTGAATGGTATAGTACCTGTACCAGTGCTCTTTATATGTAGATATAATTGTTTGAACAGGTGAACCTGGCAACCACAACATCATGTCAATCCTCTTGACATGATGTTGCAGAAGTAATCAGCATGTTTGAGGCATTTCTTACATGGCTGCATTTAAAGTAAACTCAAAAGTTACGGTTTAATCAGAAGCTAAGAAACCCATGATATCATCATCTGTGGGGAGGTTCAAATCACATAACGAATAACAATATTAATGTTTGTAAATCCTTAAGTTTAAAGTAAGAAAAAAAAATAATTTTTAATTGTTGCATTTAGCAAATAGAGACACTTTTTCATACCCTAAATGACTAGAAAAAGGAAGCGTTAGGTCTGTTTTAATGTCACGGAAGGAAGTGAGAAACAATGGTTATGTTTTTATATGATGCACGCACACAGTTGGAGTTGCTGTCAGGCTTTCCACCTTCCTACTTTTGCCACCAAATCCAACAATGTTCATTGTGTTCAGAAGCCCCCACAGGGCTGATCAAAAGAAATTGTCTTCAGAAATACCTTTCTTGTCCCTGGCAACCTTTGCAAACACTAACCTGGCTTTTTAGATCTTAGAGTAAAGGCTTCCTCCTATTTTGGTAGCCTTTAAACTGAAAGACATTTATTTAATTTTTGAGTTCATTTGGACTTTAGCAAATTGTTTATAGGCATAATAGTCTTAATATACATATATTTTTGTTGTTTTTTATTAAGTTGTTAAAAATCGTTAAAATATATCTCATATTCATTTTGTGAAAGGCAGTCATTTTTTATATTCTGTGACTTAAAGCAGTTATCTTTGAATACATCAGGTCACAGATTATCAGCCAATTTATACAGCGTATGTAAACATCAGTTTTGAGCTTTTTAATCTAAGTGCATGATATTCTATTTCAGGTTTGTCGGCCGAATGCACATCTACAAAAACAGTCAGGAGCCTGACATAAGGTGAGAGCTCCGATGCACAGCTATACCAATCCACCTCAAATGGGAGCAAAATCAAAACCAGCCCCTTAAGTACCCATTTGTTTCCTTTGCATTTCTAACAAATCACTTCTCTATTGATCATTCATTGCAAACAAGCATTAACATTTAAACGGGCTGGCAGGGGGTCAGTCACTGCTTCCAAAGCACTCCCATTGGCATTTTTTTATTGACTACATTGTATTAGACTCAAAGAATTCCCAATGTCCTTTTGAAGATCACTGGGACAGGTCGAAACCTGGACCGCAGCCTCACTGTCACTGCTTATGTTAAAACGTATGCCCTGCCAGGTTCCCATTTAGAGAATAGAGGCTTATGTGGATTGCACAGCCCCTGAATCACTGCAGAAGTGTATTTAATCAACTGATGTGATTGTCCAGATCTTTAGGGCCAGAAAACCTCCTGCTGAAAGGGGCAAATTTGAAGAACACTCGAAAGATATGTGGTGAGTCAAATCAAAGTAGTGAAACTGGATGGTTTCTTCTCCAGAATGCTGATACTTTTTTATGTCTTTCTCTCCCTCTCTCAAGGTGTTGCGGTTTACACTGGAATGGAGACAAAAATGGCTCTTAACTACCAAGGCAAATCTCAGAAACGGTCTGCTGTGGAGAAGTACGTTTGTTTCAAGACACTAATTTAGACACATATGATTTGCTGTTTGTTGTAACTCAAATATTCTCTTTTAGGTCTATCAATGCTTTCCTTTTGGTTTATCTTTCTATCCTGGTGAGCAAGGCACTTGTGTGCACCACACTTAAATATGTGTGGCAGAGCAAGCATGATGAGCCATGGTACAATGAGAAAACACAGAAGGAGAGGGAAACTAATCAGGTGAGATTAATTTGCTTTTTTAAATTTAAACATTAATATAAATTCTGTCCATGATTTTAAAACTTGAAACATGAAGTTATGTCACTGAGGAATTTCTGCTCCTACAGCAAATCCTAAACAGGTGCAGTTAAATCAGAAGAGTACTTTAGGGCTGGATATTCTGCCAATTGCAGATTAATTTTATCAGTTTTGGGTTGCACAGCCACTCCAAATAATAATTTTGGAAGGTTAAATTCTACGTACAATTTTTCGATTGAAGTTTTCTCAAATTGTATCTGAAATACTCAACATTTTCCTATGCCAACCTTCTGTTTATTTCTTCATTCCTAGTAACCCTAATGCCTTGAGTTAAATAAGTAGTACTTGGCAAGCTAAGACTTAATCATGTTTGAGGCGGAAAGCTCTCTTAACAAGATGTTTTAGTTTCACTTCACCTTCTCAATGTGAATTTTAAAACCTAAGCAATTATCTGTTTCTTTGTAGGTTTTTATTTACTGTGAAACCTGCTGCATATTTCCTTTTTAAACCTCAATGTGGGGGTAGCTGATTTTGACAGAAAAAAAAATTGGCTCAAAACACAGGGCACAGATTCATGAATATGCAGCTGCTGTAGGTTTGTTTCATGACATCGTTGTTCTAAATGGTGCTGATTTTACTTTTCTTAGAGAGGTTGACCCAGAGTTCATAGTCAGTATGCGACCAATTACCCAATATATTATTCCTAATATATGTTAATTGTCTTAAAGCATTCAAGTCTTTATATTTTCTTTCTGACTGGTAATATTTAAAGATACTATAGTTTGTGAATTTCTGCTGTAAATATAGCAAACCGGTTTGTCAAAACATATATATTTCTGTTACATACAATAAACTAGTGGAAGGTTGAAAGTAGAAATTCTATAGAGGTTTGCAGTTGGTGGTGATTATTATTAAATATATTTTTTCTTTGGTTTATTGGAACTGGACTGTTGTGGTTTTCATGCTGCAATCCTATTCCATATTACCATATGTACTGCAGTACTCTTTTAAATCAGGCAATTATGTTGTGAAATTAAATTTCAGATTTAATAGCTTTCTATAGAATTCATATAAATTAGCACAACTTTCATGGATACTGAATTTTAATGAGTCTTACAAGTTAAGTTCTCTAAATAAAATCTATTTTCTGAACTTTTAAACTAAACCTGAATGTTATCTATTACTGTAATTCTTGAATAATTAATAGAGGGACACCGCTAATGTAAACTTTAGCTCAGGTAACATTCAACATTTCATAGTGCAATATATTTATATTATTTATTGCATTTTTTATAGCGGTTTGACATTATCAGCGTTAATGCCAGACTCTTATCAGGCGATAAACAAAATAATGCCGTTAATCTATTCTCAAAGTTGGGTTGGGAGCTGGGTCTAATGATGACTTTTTCACCTTGATATTGTAGCGTGTTTGCCAGCAGGAAAGTAACTCACGCTGAAACCAAGGTTCAGTCGCGATGCTCTCCATTTATGCAATAAAAAAAAAAAAACAGGAAATGCTTGTTCCTTTATAAGCAACTGCTGAAACATTCTTCCGATGGTACCAATGCCAACACTTACAACCTCCAGAACATAATGTTAGCTTAGCATGAACAAACTACCAATATAGACAACCCTTTTAAACACAAAACTAGGATAAAATGGTGATGTTTTCCCCATCTTGACATTACTCAGCACCCCTTGCGGCTACTCAAGCCTCACAGGACATTACAGTGACTGCCAGAGTGACTGGTGGAAAAGAGAGAAATAGAGCCTGGACTAACTGACACAAAGCTACTGACTGTAAACAGTTCATCATTACCTATTATTTAGGCCTGCAGTGAATTAATATTTATCTGAATAAACACTTATTAAACACAAATACATCTTATTGAATATTATTTATTTTCATCACCAGTTATCATAGTAGAAAAGCTTTCTGAAGCAGTCTGTGATGCATTTTGGAAACAGGAGATGAGCTCCTTGTCTAATGCGCCACCTGGCTTGAGAAACCTGTTCAAAGACTTATTTTTACTTATTTAGATAGCAGACACATATCCTTATTTTATTTTATTCTTACCCTTGTTTTATTCTTATATAGTATTTGTAATTACAATCTTATTTTTTTTCCTCTACTGTAAACATTTGCACTGCAAGAAAAAATGTTCCCACAAAGGGATTAACAAAGTAATTCTGATTCTTATTAATGAAGCGTTTGGCAGAATTCAAATGAGCCATTTTAATCAAGATTACAGTGAGATTAATCTAGATTTTAAAAAAAATGATGTATGCTCACCACTAGTTTTTTAACTAAATATTAGTATAAGTAGTTATAGTTACAGTCATTGAAAACTACAATTGTGAATATTATAGAGGATGCCTAATTTGAAAGCCATTGAACTATATGACTCCATTTGACTTTGTTCTTTTTTTCCATTTTATGTCACAGTACCTAAAAATGTTCACAGACTTCCTTTCCTTCATGGTGCTCTTCAACTTCATCATTCCGGTGTCCATGTACGTCACTGTTGAGATGCAAAAGTTCTTGGGGTCCTTCTTCATTGCATGGGACAAAGATTTCTTTGACCCTGAAATCAAAGAGGGGGCACTGGTCAACACGTCGGACCTCAATGAGGAGTTGGGACAGGTCAGGCTGGAGATCAAATCACAAGAGGCTTTTAAATGAATTTTTTTTTTCCTTGATGCTGATGTAAAATATACATGTATAAACCAAATTGGGTAAATTCATTCTAGTTTTAAAGTGCTTATTGTGCAGAGTATTGTACCTCTTGGCTCTGAAGCTTTTTATAGATTTAAACAGGGACTATAAAAAGCTGATATTTTATCTGTTTGATCAGTGGATCTACTTTCTTTAGATAAATCCTGCAGTTAATAGCTTCCCAGCTACAGTTCGAAATGCTCTGTGATAATAAAAAAGATGCATGATGTGTTATGTGTGCACACTCTATCACTCCTTTAATTTTACACAAACTGTAAATATTTTTAAGTCTAGTTTGTCTTTTTATGGAAGCAAAGAATTGTAGGTGTTCTCTTTCAGGCCGGCTGGCAGTGTACTAGGATAGGTAGAGGAGTTGCCATGCAAATTACGATTAGTCAAATTGTTTTTCGAAACCACAGGAATGTTTTGACAGATCAATTTGCTTTTAAAATTATCACCTTTAAAAAAGAAACTCTTTATGCCTTTTGACCAGTAACCATTCAAATTCTAATTTGCATTAAGCTTCCTCTCGGGATTTTATTTTTATGGAATATATTGGATTCTTTGGAATCAAGGATTTGCTAAATGTTCCTAAATTCACTGAAGTCTTAAAATGGAAAAAAAAAAAAATACCTGGACAAAATCTAACTTGGATTATGTGAGATATGTTATTGTAAAAAAAAGAGAAAAAAAGAAAATAGCAGTAGATTTAAACCTTTCCTAATTTTAGTTTTTTACAACTCCAAATAACAGAAAAAACTGCACCCTTTGAGCAGTTGGACCTGAAATGTTATAATAATAAAGAAACGCTTTAAATTTTATGAATGCAGTCTAATTCTTTGTTTCTGGTATTGCTTTTGTCCCCATCATATTTCCTGCAGGTGGAGTATGTCTTCACAGACAAGACTGGCACGCTGACTCAGAACAACATGGAATTCATAGAGTGTTGCATCGATGGCTTCCAGTACAAGCATCGAGATGGGAGATCAGAATTGGATGGGTTTTGCGTCACAGATGGACCTGTAAACAAAATACAGGAAAAAGCTGGCAGAGTGAGTGTTGTGTTGCCCCACCATCTGCTTTAAGAAGTCACACAAGCATTAACATATGGCCATTACATAGCTCATTTGTTAGAAAGACCCTTCATAGGTCAGCCATGTGTAGCCTCTTTGACATGTCAACATATGTAGTGAACATGCGGATTAAAATGTGCATATGATGCACACAAATGTAAAATGCTTTTTTTGCACTTATTTTGAGAAGAAGTGTCTTATTATAGCTTTTTTTTTTTTTTTTTTGTTCCTAGGAGAGGGAAGAGCTATTTCTTCGTGCCCTCTGTCTGTGCCACACTGTCCAGGTGAAAGAGTCTTCAAACTACCTAGATCAGATTGACCAGGTAGATGGTTTAGGGGGTGGTGAAGAGATCCTACATACACCGCAGACAGAGAGGGGCTTCATAGCTTCTTCACCCGATGAGATTGCTCTTGTAAAAGGAGCCATGAGGTAAAAAAGAAAGCTTTTGTGAATTTTTAAATGCTAATCAATCTATTGTGAAAGAGAAAGTTTGTCATCTACAAGTGCATCTCTGTGAATTATATTTTTATAAAAAGGCTCATTCCTTTTATTGAGCTCCCACAGAGTGATAGATTTTAAGTTTGTATTTGAATGAGTATGGCTTACAGTTAATGAAATCCCAAAATTAGGTATCTCAAAGAGCAAGTAATAAGAAGGATTATTCTTCAATGGGCTGCAGTTATCTCTCTTCCATCCACTTATTTTTCCAGTAATTTGCCCTGATACATTTCTCTGTATGGACAGCTTGTGTCTTTGGGATTGTGTCTAAAGTTTTATCCTAGACGGTCATCAAGTCAGTAATCTTCCTACTGAACGGGGAGGGCATGGCATAATCATGGCAACATATATCAACATTGATAATCTCTTTTCATTTGTCTTGGGAAATGTTCAAATTTTCTTTGAAATTGAATTTAAAGTGTTTAATAATCTAAAGTGTTAATCATCAAAATGAACACAAGTTAATGTGTGAACTGACAACTGAGAAATGACATACTTGCTGTTATCTGTCTCTATTTGCAGGTATGGCTTCACATTTCTGGGCCTTGAAAGTAAAAATATGAAAATTCTCAACAGGAATAAAGATGTTGAAACGTGAGGCTTTAACAGCTTTAAAATCTCAGCACACATTTGTTGATGCGATTCTAGTGATTTTAATTTTGGACCTTTTTGTTCTCCTTTAAGGTATGAACTACTTCACGTGTTAAACTTTGACCCTGTGAGAAGGCGAATGAGTGTAATGGTCAGATCTAGTACAGGTGAGCCTGAGACAGGTCTGATTCATTGTATATTATATGTTTATACTTACTCTGACCGTGTGCGTGTAATTGTTTGTTTGTGTTCAGGTGACATATTGCTTTTCTGTAAGGGAGCAGATTCTTCCATCTTCCCTCGAGTCAGACAGGAGGAGGTAGAGAGGATACGTATGCATGTGGAACGAAACGCAACAGTGGGTGCAAAACAGATGGTCTATCTGCATATCAAGACTGTCACTTTTTAAACAGAAATTGTGATGTTTTACTGACTACTTTATTTTTCTCTTTGTTCAGGATGGTTATCGCACACTGTGTGTGGCCTACAAACTTCTCAGCCCAGAGGAGTATGCAAAGGCAGATGAAGAGCTGAAAGAAGCAAGATTGGCTCTGCAGGACAGGGAGGAGAAGCTTTTAGCTGTTTACAATCAAGTCGAGGCTGAAATGACTCTAATAGGAGCAACTGCTGTGGAAGACCAGTGGGTGTTATTTCACATACTGTACTTAAACAAATATAACTGAGTCAGTTCTGATTCATTTTTTCTTCATCAAAATTTGTTTTTATATAGGATATTTTAAAAGTTGTAAATACCAGCATTGAACATAATGTTTTGTAACATTTATGGGTTTCTTCTGTTGATTTTTGTTTGACCCCTTTATAAGCCCTTTATCAACTTACACTGCCACCATGTGGATTATTCAGTCCTCCACAATCAAATATTTTCAAACTATTAAGATATTTGTTTTCCTTTGAGCACTAGTATAGAGCAATAATACATACATTTTTATTAAGAAGGAGCCAAGAAATGATATCATAACCTGGCTCACAAAGCATAGGAAGTCACATCCTATGATGAGAATAAAAAATACATCTAAAAGAAAAATATTTGGGAAAATTATGAAAACAAAAATGTCCATTTATGGTCATTGATTTTTTATATCTGTTTAATCAATTATTACAAATTAATGAATTGTTTTGTAAAATATGAATTTTCAAGCCTTTTTTGCACTAAAATCCCAACAATCCCAATGATTAGTTCCAATGATCCTCTAAGACCAAGAGACAAAACACTTTTTTCTCTCCGTATATTTTACACCAACATTAAAGTTCTCTAAATAGTAATGTTAATATGCTGTATTATAAAGGTGTATCCTATTCACAAATTGAATGGATAAAACTAATGTTTGACTTGTTTTTTGTTTTTTTTCTTTTACCCAAAGGCTGCAGGAGGAGGCAGCACAGACTATGGAAGCTCTGCAGGGAGCAGGCATGAAGGTTTGGGTGCTAACGGGTGACAAGATGGAGACGGCCAAATCCACTTGCTATGCTTGTGGATTGTTTAAGAAAAACACAGAACTGCTTGAGCTAACCTTGCGCACTCTAGAGGAGGGAGGAGGGAGGCGAGAGGATAGACTTCTTGAACTTCTACTGGAGTACCATAAGAAAGCTTTTCAAGATGCCCCACCAGTAAGATTAGGAATAACCAGGTTGGTACTATGCCATGACAAAAACTAAACTTTATAGACAAGTTTCCCATCCAAAATATGGAGCTAGATCACTGACAGCTTGCTTTGACATTGAGAAGGAGAATTTGCAATATAAATGTAACCAAATACTCAAAAGTCAATCTACATTCAACTTTATTAACAATTAGTTTTATAACAAAAACCAGTTTGTAAAGACAATAAAAAGGTGAAATGTGTATCTGTATTCAGCCCCCCAGTCAAGTTGTTCTAAGGCTCCCCTTTTAATGCATTTACCTTCAAGATTTCTGATCTACAGTTGAACACAAGTTGGTGTTTCAATCTCTTTTAAATCTTAAATAAATATCCTCAGGTTTGTACTTGTGCAATAAAGTGAGAAAATGTGAATGATTTAAAATGACTTAAACATTTACTGAGACATTTTCAAATAAGGATAATGTTTCTTTTAGGAGTTCTAACTCATTCCTAATTCTGTGTTGTAGGAGTTGGTCTGTAGCCAGCAACGATTATGGTTTTATCATTGACGGAGCTTCTTTATCGATGGTGCTCAGCTCTGAATCCAACTCCAGCCGCTACAAGAACCTCTTCCTGCAGATTTGTCTGAACTGTACTTCTGTGCTATGCTGCCGCATGGCCCCTCTGCAGAAAGCTCAGGTCAGGTTATTTCATTTAACTCGATTTATCACTTTTGCAGTGGGCCTTTTTTAAAACATAACTCTCTGTGTTCCTCCATCTTTAGATTGTAAAACTGGTGAAGAACTCTAAAGGCAGCCCAATTACTCTCTCCATTGGTGATGGAGCAAATGATGTCAGCATGATTTTGGAAGCTCATGTTGGCATTGGTAAGAAATCAGTTTAAATGTGGTGAAGGTACCCTTTAAATCTAAGTTACTTTTGATAATTAATAATTTTTTTGTTTGTTTTAAATATGCTTTTTTCAGGTATTAAAGGTAAAGAAGGTCGACAGGCAGTAAAGAACAGTGATTATGCTATCCCCAAACTCAAGCACCTCAAGAAACTTCTGTTGGCTCATGGACATCTTTACTATGTTCGCATTGCGCATCTGGTGCAATACTTCTTCTACAAGGTAAGAAAAAATGATATTTTTCCTTTTTATTTTTCTGACTCACTGCTTAACTTCTATTTATGCAGGGTTTGTATTTACCAAATAAATGGGATAATTAATTGACCAATTGCCTTTTTTTCAAGGAATTTTATAGAAGATAAAGCATACGGGTAGAAATTACACTGCATTTATGACAATGTGTTTATCTTTTATCCACAGAATCTTTGCTTCATCTTACCTCAGTTTTTGTTCCAGTTCTTCTGTGGCTTCTCCCAGCAAGTGAGTTTTTTCATAGCAACAATGAACTTGAGAAAATGTGCCAAGCATTAAAGGTGACTGAGCCCGTTTCCCCTTAAATAACACTCTCCCATTTACCCTGTGAAGCCTGACAGTGATGTTCGTGTTCTCAGATATTTATGAATTGCATGACTAAGAAAGGTAAAACAGAATTTATGGGAACAGCACAGAGCACTTGTGCTGTGAAAAAGTATTTTTGCCGTTACAAGATTTCCTGTTTTTACTTTTTGTTTTTTATTTAAGGCAATACATTTGCTCAGGTTTTGAGGATATGTTTGATGTTTATCCAGGAGTTTTGCCATTTCCTGAATCTTGCATTTGAAATGACTAGAGTTGTGGTTTCAACTGTGAGCTCTCAGAATTGCCAGTGACCCCTGGGTAGAAGTAGACGGAACCAATCCAAAACAACTGAGCCAAAGTGCAGTAGCATTTTATTCAAGCCTGTTGTAGTTGCCAAAACCCAGATGACTGAAATAATATATATATATATATATATATATATGTATGTTAATCTTTAACTCCAAATTATATATTTTTTCATTTGGTCAGTTTGGCACCTTTTTCACTCAACAAATTATTCCATTATTTTTACCAAATTATTTTTGAAGGTAGAATTTGTTTGAAATAAAACATAAACGCTAAAATTAAATAAATCTGTCAAACTGTTAACCTTTTATCATGCCTCTGTATATTGGTTAGGTTATTGCTAGGTATAGTTATAGGCTGCGTTCCTTTACTGTGTCCTGTACATATTAGGTAAACTTGGATCAAAAATGCAAGGATTATTATAACTAAATGTTTTTGTTTTGGAGTTATTGGATTGTTTTACTTTAAATAATAACTGCTGATTGTCTCTTGTGATCAAAAAACAGATCTTTAATGGGCCTAGAAAAGTTGTCTGTAAGCTTCCTTATATGGCCTCTTGAAGAGGTATTGGTGGTGTGAGTTTTTCCTACTCCTTCATATTAATCCCCAGTGACCCACCCTTCCTTCTCCCCCTTACCCTACCCTTCCCCCTGCTCCCATCCTCCCAGCCCCTGTATGATGCAGCCTATCTGACGATGTACAACATCTGCTTCACCTCTATGCCCATCCTGGCTTACAGCCTTTTGGAGCAACACATTGGCATTGAGGATCTCTTGGAAAACTCTACCCTCTACAGGTAAATTGGTTATATTGCACTTTAAATAAATTCTAGTTGGATGTCTATACAATCATATTGGTGTGAGTTTTTTCAATTAATTAAAGGTATGTTGGAGCACTTTCACAAACTTTTTAAAAGACCTGCCCTCTCCACTTAAAAAAAAAAAAAGAACTTGCACAACCCTGTACTCTCTCACGAGAGGGAATGCCTATTAAACGCGTGCAAGAGCATGCACAAGCATATTTCTCCTCGTGCACTCTCTGTTTAAAAGTTGATGCTTGCATCGCCCATACAAGTTGACTTTACAAAAGAAGATTTGCAATCTTTCCATTATGTCAGACTCACCACAGTTAAGTAAAATGGGGAAGAGTGCATAGACATTTCACCAGAAAGATTGACAGTTAGAAGACTACTTATTTTAATGATCCACCCGAAAAAGAAACTTCCTCTACTATACCTTTAATATTTCCTTTTTTTGATTAATAGTAAAACCAAACAAAAACATTAGAGAATCCCAAAACTTAAATCTGTTACCAACATATATATATATGGCTACCTGAAGTATTATTTTGATGAAGGGAAAAGAGATATGGAAAAAAAAAAAACATCCTTACCGTCGCCATCAATAACTTATGGCAAAATTGGGAAGTTTGTTTTAAATATTCTTCATCAGAAATGGAGGTACAAATGTAATTTTAGGTTGCTAGAACAAACTAGGCTTTTAACAATGGTCTAAATTTGATGTGCTGGATTTAAAGGTTCCTTCAGTAGCGTGCTTTATTTATTCCAGAACAGGTGTGTTTGGTTTGTTTTTTGTATCATTGGCGCATATGGTTTCGGCCAAGTGTCAAACCTCCTAGCTTTTGATTTGAGATTAAGTTAAAATATGTCATAGAGAGAAATTTGTTCCAATATTATTTAAAACAAATAACCTATGAAGTGAACTTCCCTCTTAAAGAGAAATTCCCTCTTGCCTATACACTCTTAACAGAATTGCAATTTTGCTCTACCCTTTAGAGGCTCTCACTCCCAGAACTGTAAAGAATTTTATATGTAAAAAAAAAAAAAAGAAGCATTTAAAAATATTTCTTCAAACCCAGTATTAAAAAAATAGAATCAGAAATTTAAAAGTATTAAGGAATAAGTGTGTTAGTCTAAATAAAAGTGAATAAAAATACAAATATGAAAAAAATGTTGCTTTAACTTGTGCATTTACGTTATAAATTACTCTCAAAGCTTTTGTTTTCATTTAGACATTTTTCAAACTTCCATTTGAAAAATTGTTCTTTGCTTTTAGTGATATTGGAACAAGTATATTTCCATAAATTTAGGCATTGTCCTCCTTCATAATTGTTGCCATCCAGTTTCTGTATGGTACGTTTTGTAGAGAAACTGCCCCAGTGGCAGTAACACCCTAATCCCTAAGCATTCTACTACCACCGTCTTGCTTGAAAGTTGGGCAGTTTTCCAGAGTTATATTAATTACGCCTTAGGTTCTCCAAACATTCTTTACTGTCAGCATGGTCAATTACCTCATATTTCTTGGATAACTACATTCTTTTGGTGTTCTTTGTCAGTAGTAATCTACAAATAACAGGATTGTTAAAAACACAACTTTATGGCAGCCTTAAGCCTTTGTGTCTCCCAGATTTCCTTTTTCTATTTCAAAGAATTAGGTGGTCTAAGAGGACAATAAACCCAGGCATAATGTTACATGTATACTACAATATAATTATTCACAGTTGGAATTACAATATTGCAATATTCCCACCAAATATACTTCTGTAGAGCCTGTGGTGGTTAAGCTCATGAAGAAAGGTTGGACCATTCTATGGTTTTAAGATAATAATATTGTTATACAATTTTCAGCAATAAAAATTAGTGCTAATTCCCTGAAATCAAATGTTCCAAGAAGAATTTATCTCTCCTTTGATAGGCAAAATCCATTTCTAACACAGGCCATCATTAGTGTGTGAGTGTGTACATGAATGGGTGAATGACTGAATGTAGTGTAATGCGCTTTGGTCATGTCTCCTGACTTGAAAAAGCGCTATACAAGTACAGGCCAGTAAACATTTTACCATTTAATGCTGTCATTCATTTTTTGTTCATATTTAAATTGACATTATGCTTAGACAATCTAGCCGCAAGTGGACAGTTCTGTGTAATCTACCAAAATCGGAGGAAATTGGCAAACATGGGTTTAAAAAAAGAGAAGTGACGCGGTCTTTTGAAAGAAGTAGGCTATGTGATTATTGTGACCTAAACCTCATTAAAGTTTGTTCTATCAGAGCTGATTTCGCTTCAGAAAAGCGAAGCTGCGACAAATTCCAGCACTGATATATAGTGTTGAATATCCTGCCAGAAATATAACGAGGATGCATTGATAGCAATAGAAAGCATGTGGTCAAAATCCAGCTAGAAAGTTTATGTAGATTTTAGCTTGTGGGGATTTTAAAAATATAAACCAAAAAATTAAATCTTGTGCACACAATTCTTGTTTAAAATATAACTTTTATCCAGTCCTACAGATGCTGAACTTCATGTTCATTTTGTGAGTTTCTACAAAGTGATTGTTTTTTTGCTGCTTATTTTAGGCAGATTGCGAAGAACGCCATGTTGCAGTGGAAACTATTCCTTTACTGGACTGTGCTTGGACTCTTCCACGGCTTTGTCTTCTTCTTTGGTGTTCGCTTTTTGTTCAGTAACCCAGCTCTGCAGGACAATGGCCAGGTTTGATATCACTCTGGCTAAACTTAAGGGAGATAAAATAATTAATTCAGTACCTTCTTCTCACCTCATTGTGTTTCTTATTTAAATCCAGGTTTTTGGGAACTGGTCATATGGAACTATTGTTTTCACCGTGCTAGTCTTCACTGTAACTCTAAAGGTAAGCATATGCATTGTTCGAAACAGTACCTCTTTAACCATTCAAGTTAAAATAAAAAAGTCCTGTAAACCTGGATTAAGAATATTGTCTTAAGTGTTTTTTTTTTCTTACTTTTAGCTGGCACTGGACACCCGGTATTGGACATGGATAAACCACTTTGTAATTTGGGGTTCCCTGGCATTTTATGTGTTTTTCAGTTTCTTCTGGGGAGGAATAATATGGTCAGAAAATACAAACACACAAAAGTTTCTGCTGTAGCCAACCTTTCCCTACTTTTCCAATTAAAAATGATGTGATCTAAATCGTGTGTCCTCCAACAGGCCTTTCCTGAAGCACCAGCGTTTGTACTTTGTGTTCGCCAACATGCTAAGCTCTGTGTCAGCATGGTTGGTCATCATCTTGCTCATAATCCTCAGTCTACTGCCAGAGATCCTGTTTGTGGTGCTCTTCAAGCCCCGTGGACCCCTTGCACGACAGGTAAATCTGAATGGCACTTCTGTACATGAGGAGATTTTAAATTTACAACTAACATTTACTAAATGGCACACCTAGCAGTCATTATAAGCTTAAGTATATTAAGTTAGCTGTTATTCTCTACTGTAGTACTATTTAGATAACTAAAATCTATTTATGTGTTCTGCATACAGTTCTTTATGTTTTTTAGGGATCTTTCATAATATTTATTTTTGTGTTGATAAATAAGTTTTGTAAGCTTGTAGCTTAAAATGAAATGTTATCACCCTTCTCAGAATTGTTTTAAGACCAGGCTTCCAACAGTCTTCTGACCTTTGTTTGTCTTTCCTCTCTGGATTATTCTGTTAAAACACAACAACCAATTCAAGGATGTAAAACAGATTGAATGTTTTTGACTGCTTAAGACATTTGATGTTGATATATCTGTAGGTCATGTCATTTATTGTTATCATATAGTGAAAGGTTCATATCAAAGCTTATAGTGAGGTTTTGTGAAATTACCAGTCAATTTTCCCCTCCATAAAGTAAAAATATCTCATATTAATCTAAGTTTGCTTGACTACATTAAGTACATCTTCAAGGAGCAGATACAAGCAATTTAGACATGCAGTACATCCCATCAGTCCGCTTCATCAAGGAGTTACTTGAATTATTTTGAAAAACGACTTACCAATCGTAGATGCTGCCACATGTCTGATGTAAAATCTCAAAATTTGTTCAACAAGCACAATTTACTTCGAACCATGGAGGATGTTTGATTATGATGCAGCAACATTGTTAAAATTGTCTCCTGTGAAATTATAGACTATTAATGCCAGCTTCTATTTCCCTCTGATATGAGCAACTTTATTTTATTTGAGGGTAGTAAAGTCAGCTAAATCGGACAGTCTATAGAGTGGCTGTGAGCCATCCACAACCCAAAGGATGTATTGAATTCCTTAGAAAAAGAAGAAAAAGCATCACTTGAAAAAACATTAACTGACCCTTGAATCTCAGAGCTTCCGATAAGAGCCAGCAGATAACTGCACCTTCAGTTATTTAAAAAGAGTACTAATATTCTTCATGACTATTTTTTATAACATGATGGTTCATTAATTTTGTTGCATTTTATAGCTGCATTTTATAGCTGTATTGTTGCATTTTATAGCTGAAAAACAATATTTGTGATGCCGTTATGACATTGCAACATAGTGATTATTGCAATTATTTTATCATTTTTATCTCAGTATTAAGATTTTTGTGACTTATAAAAAAATAGCCCAATTTAGGAGAATTGAAGTAGACGTCTTTTTCAGGTCACAGATGCAGAGCAGTATTTTTTTTTCATAATTTTCCAAATCAAACTTTTCCAACATAAACCTTATGAAATCAATGTTTACAGTAAAGTACCTCTAATAGTATATTGATTTACTTTACCTGTGTAAGGCTTGGCTATTAAAGAAACTCTAAAACATCAGAGCTTGTGTAGAAAACGAGAAAAGAGATTTGGGTATAAAATTTAACTGTTCTTGTTTATAGTACCAATGATTACGTGCTTATTTGTTTGTGGTTTTTAAGCTTGATTTAGGTAAATGACCAAAGATCTGCTGTTTTTCCAATTTACATCCTATCAGCCTTTGGTTTCTACTATAGCAGGTTATATTTGCTGCTGTGGAAATGTTTTATGTAAGTTTTTTTTTCATGTTTCCCTCCCATTATAAACCAGGTTTCAGTTCACACATGGAAAATGAAAGATTTTTTTTTATTTGTAGCACTGTTCTCTTTACTGTTTGAACAGATTTCCTCCCTGTCTGTTAAAGCGCTCGGTTCTCCTACTTGGCTAACTTTTTTTATTTCTCAAACTAGCTCCTCTACAATATCACACATTCTCACCTTTCACCCTGGTATTTTCCCTTTCTTCCTCTCTGTACTTTCCTCCCCAAAGATGAAGCATCGCCTTCCATCCTCTGGGACTTCTACTATCTTCATGCTCTCTCAGACAGCTAGCTCTCACAGCTTCTCATGGAGCGAATGAGGTCTCATATTTTCTCTCTGTTGACACTCAAACTTCTCACTCTGAAGATTGTGTTTGCTCGGAAACTTGCTTGTTTCCTTCTTACTGTGTCCTTCCTCTCCCACTGTCTGGCTCCTTATTATTTAAAGCTGGCCCTCTATAAATTTTGCTCATGGTCCGCACTCTGTTGGACAATTAAATTACAGTCAGTGCTTAGAAGCATTCAAAAGCCTTGAATTAGTTCTAATACATAGGGGTGTGCTGCCAGCTCCTCCTTCAGTGTGGAGTAGGACGGGGAGTCTGTGCTGAGTGTGCAAGTCAGCACCTCATCCTTTGTCTGTCCAGCTTTATCAGTCAGTGTCTCCTACCAGCTACCTGTGCTGCTCCAGTGCCTGCTGCCTCCGCATGTCCCGTTGGGTGACTGCAGCACCTCAAAGCACCTAAACTCAACTGCATGAGACACGAGTCAGCAACCTCATCCTGGATCCTCTACCCAGTCCGACAGCTTTTTTCTCTTTTTGTTTAATCTCATACATTTTATTTTGTCAAATTTAGTCGTATGGACAGTTGATTTAAATTTAAATGTTTCATTAAAGGGTTTTGGAGTTTTTTGCCTTGAGGATATTTTTAGTCCACCAAGGCAGAAGGACTAATATTTTCCGCCCATTTGTCTATATTTAGTCTATTGTGAACGTGTTTGTCTTATATGTTTGTAAGTGTACAAGCAGAGGAGAATATGGAGGAAAAAGAAGCATGTTTGTGCTTGCTGGTGCAGTGAAGTCAACAGTCTCTTCTGCCTCACCCTTCTAGAAAAAGCGGGTTGATTCGAGTGTGGGGGGCCCCCTGTCTCCCCAGTCTTCAGCCAGGCCCCTGCTCATGCGAACCTTTTCAGATGAATCCAATACTGTCCTTTAAACAGGTACTAGCCCACTTTTAGGGCATTCAACCTAATCAGGGTCTCATCCCTTTTTAAATCCTTCTAGTGTCCCATCTTGATTTTTAACACCAAATTTTTAATAAGAAATCAAAATCTAAAAGGTGTGTAAGCTGCAATTACTAAGAACACTTTTTTCCTTTCTCATCTGTGTAAAGCCGAAATAGGCTGGCTGAAGTGACTCACTTTTTACATCTCTGTTGTTTTGTGTCAAAACTTGTGGTTGATGAGGTTAAATTATCCTTTATTTTCACCTATGGTAGGATCTTTGGGCTCACGTTTCTGCACAGACACATGCTCCTTTCTGCCTTCCTTTGGATGCACGGCTAAAACCTCCCTTTGCATGTGCTTATGTCCTTCCTTTTTGTTTTTTCCTGTAAGTTTTATTTTCTTTATTTGGGCTTTCTATCTCGTGTAAAACCACAGGGCTGATCTTGGATTATTACTTATTCCCTCTCCACTATCCAGCGTTCATGTGCTGTTTGTGACATTGCAGTTTGTTCATTCGGTTAAGGCATCCTCGTTATGCTTTTCATACTTATTTTGTTAAATTATTTTCAGTAAACGATGCAGTTTTGATTGCTGACTTGTGTTTGTTGCATGCAATTACACTGACACAACCACAGCCTACAAACCCGACTGCATTACAGGGAGCAGACATCTAAATTACAAGCAAAGTTGGATAAAATGACTACAAAAAACGCATTTACAAACCTTTGCAAAAGCATTTATACTGACTACATTGTGTAACACTCTTGTCTTGTTTCAAGCACAAACTTATGTGCTATGTGTTATTTTTCAAGTGGAACAAAAAAAATATATGGTTTTTTTGTTTACATTTTTGTGTACAAGTAAAATCAGAAACATGTGGTATTCAGCCCCCTTCACTATGGTACCTCCAAGTCATCTGAAACGATTTGCCGTCTTAGTGTAATGTTAGTTCGGTATTGTCTTTATACAATACAGAGCTAACACTATTATATCGTTCACAGTCTGTTAGAGAACATCATTGGACAACTGGTGAGTCAGGAATATAGTTTAATTAATTTTAGAAGTAGATCTAAAACATATTTTAAACATCACCCAGAGCACTGATGGCACTGCCATCTGAAAGTGCTCAACATGTCATAAGTGCATAGGACCAATAGTAGTTCTGGAGGAGTTTTACATGTCAGCAGTGAGAATATATTTGCAGGACAGAAAATGACTGCTATAGTCATATACTTCCTAAATCAAACTTTTATTTGAGCAGCAGGAAGAAAGCCAAATTTGATCAAATTGCGGCTGGCTAGCAAGTCGTAAGTCATCCATCCTGCAAACAGGAAGCCTGGGTTCGTATCTCAGCTGGGTCCCTAGGCATTAAAGCTAATGCCTGCTTTGGCATTGTGCATTGGGCATTATGCTTGGAATCCTGAGGTGAGGCGCCGCACAATGCAGAGAGTTAATTTTGTTTCTCTGTACTTGTGACAGTGTAATGACAATAAAAAAATGCTAGAATATGTATACTGTACATGCCACAGTTTTCTTTTTTTATTTGTACAAAAGTTGAAAAGCCATGTTGAAGTTTCTCTAGTTTGCAGCCCTATATAACTCTGAGATGGTCTTTCACACAAAATTCCAATAGCGTATATTGATGATTGTAACTGAAAAATCCAGGGGAGTAAATAATCTGGGAGGGCAATAAAAAAATATAGTGAATTGATATGAGATGTGCTTAATAATTTGTCTGGCCCCTGAGGATATGCTACGGTGACTGGTCACACATAACCACCACTATTCACCAATGCTTATGCTGCCCAGTAGTAGCCTACAACTCCTTGCAATTTTTTTCACTTTTAACGTGGCTTTTATTCTCCCTGTAGCTGGCAGAGGGTGAGCTCCTACAACCTTCCAGGTAAAGTCTAGAGAAAGCAGTAACTGTGTTTAAATCTGCCTGCTGAGCTTGAACAAATCAGCTTATTGGGGGAAATGGGATATTTTCCTTACTAATATCTGTCAACTGTCGGTGGTGAGAAAGCTTTAATCATGTAAGCTTTTGTGTTTGTTGTTTTGTTGCTGATCACTGTAATATCTCTGGTGATTTAAGCTCCTTTGCAGACACTGTTTTGTCCTCCGTCCTCTCCAGCTTATGATTAACACATTGAAAGTGTGTCTTCCTGTGCTGTTTCCAGGTGAATGCTGTCACACCACTTTCCTACAAGCACCTGAAGGAGCGCGAATGAAAGGCAGCCTGGTCACGCCTCCAAAATGCTCCTCATTGGGATTTTCTCTCATGCCTAAAGCAACTTCAAAGACAAGACAAGACCATTTTTTAAGAGGATTGAAAAGATCTCAGAAATGTAATGACTTTGGGGCGCGGTTAAACAGTTTTGATTTCTTTTTCTTTCTTTTTTTTGCCCAGTCACCTGCACAACGCATGCCTGCAGAGCAGTGCTCCAGTATATTTTATAAAAAAAAAAAAAAAAAAATTAAGACTATGGGCATGAACCTTCTTCCTTTTCCTTTTTTGATATCCGCTTACATATAAAAGCTGCCTTGCCAGTAGCTAACTACTTTGTTTCATCAAGCAGCTGTAATATCCACTCCAAGAATGGTACATCTGCATGAAGGCTACAGAAAATACACTTCTCTGGTATTTAGTCACTCTTTTACAAATCTTTTTATTTAAACCTTATTGCTGCACTTGTATTTCTGCAATATATTTTCTCTTTTTCTTTGTTTTTTCATGTAAATCTTAAGATATTTTCACATCTACAGATCCAAATCATTCCAGATGAAACATTACTAAATGTGATATCAGTGCAGCTGAAAGCAGCACACAGACTGTTAAAATCGTTTTTTTGATTATTTCTTTGTTTTTGCTATAAATCTGATATCTATTTTGAATGCTAAGTTAACAGAGGGATCAAATGTTACCACTCAGTCCAAAAAGTGTTTTTGTGGGAACATGTTAGTGTAAAGAATTAAAGTGTGCCCCAGTAACGAAGCATTACTTGGACCATGAGCTTAAATCTTCCAGCGTCAGATTATTTAAGATTTCATTATGAGATAAGAAATGTAATAAATGTGCGGTGGTGTGCATAGCTTAGAGATGTATGTGAACATCGGCTAAAAAGCCAAAATGATCAGGTTGCGTCCACAAAGTGTGGCCTTATGGTGTCAGGCCTGCCTGCATACGTGTGTGGCTTTGTTTTATAGAATGTTTTGGATGAGATTAGCCACAAATGCCTGTGTGTAAAGAAGCCCAGGTTTACTTGAACTTTGTTGATTCGGGTCATTATGACGTTTTCTGCACTATTTAGGAAACTGGTTTCTTCATTGTGAATTTAGCCACATTGATTTTACCTGAACCCACATGCATAAACTATGGGTTAGAGATTAGAAAAACCAATAACCAATGAAACGAAAATCTACAGATTAAGTCTAAGTTAATTGTAATTATTGCTCAGCATTTTTATTTTGTCTCCTTAGATGAATTTCGGTTGTAAAATGGCTCTGTGAGCTGAGCTGCAGAATCGGCATATCTTTGGGTCACTGTGAGATGCTGATAGCATTAACTATTCACCTTTTCTCCTCTTTTAACTTCTCATCTGTTGTTCTTTATACATTCCATCCAGATACATGATTTAAGACACTTTGATACTTTTTTTGTGAAATATTTTAATTTCTCCTGTAATCATATCAAATATATCTTGCATATTTATTAAGTGTAACTTTACTCATAAAGGTTATATTTTTATTACATGTACCTTTATATTATTCAGAGAATGTTAAGCGTTGTGCCATTGGGAGTGTGCCACTGGGTTAAAACATTGGGGAGTGTTTTAATCCAGATTGAGCTTTAGACCACATAAACCCCATTCATCAGTCTGTGATGTTCTGAAAAAAAACAAAAAAAAAACAGGCAGCCCCTTCCCAGTAGGCTCCAAAATTCCCTAAATAAATCTGAGATGGTTCTTATCTCCTTTCTTAAAGTAGAGTCCTGTCCATAAGTTTACATACACCTATAATTGGCATGAAGGTGATTTTAATTAGAGGCTTTGAAAATGTCTAGAGTGAAATGTGTGCATCTACATTAAAATTTCAATACAAAATTAAGGTTCATGAGTTGAGAGACTTTGCACTTTAAAGAATGGTACCAAAAATCTTTCAGTTTGCTTCTCATTTCCTCTATAAAATTATACCCATTTGTTCAAGTGTATGCAGACATCACAGGTAATATTGAGATTTGTGTCTCATACCAAATTCCCATCTTCAGTATTACCTTTGGATTCATTTCAAGCTACTAGTTTTATTCTAGCTGGATATTTAACAACTTAAAGTTAAAATATTACTTGGTTTCCAAATATATCCCCTGCTTTATGGGTAGCAAGTAGATTATTTTTGTGAAACTGAGGTAAAGGCTCAGAGAGGCTCCTTCAGGAAGTATAATGGATGTTGAAGAAAAGTGATTCTTGCCACCAAAAATTAAACCTATCAAATGGGAACTGAAATCCAAGGTCACTGTCACAAAACAGAAAAATGTGTGATGCTAGAAAAAGGTCAGAATCGAGAATTTAGACAAGACAAAATAGTTTTATCAAACTTATATTTGAAGGAATAAAGTTAAACATCTACAAAACATAGTGATAGTTGATTATAGCAGTTGGGTTTTGTTTTTTATTACATTAGTTGCCAAAAATGCTTAAATTAAATTCTTTGGTTTCTCTTAAAATAAATAACTGATAGAACAGGCCTCTAGCCTAGCTCATAAACTTAATCACATTTGAGATATATTGGGTGCAATATGATCTTGCCTTGAAATCAACACTTTTGAAGGAGGTCAAACATGTCAACAAATACAATTAAACTTGCATCAAAAGCTTTTATGACTCAAAGGAGCCTGTTGTTTACTTGGAACTACTAAAACACATCTCTCAAGATTTTAGTGAGAGGGCTGCTCTTGTATTTTTAAATGTTAATCTTGAGTGAAAAAAGTTTAAATGTAAACTTGAGTCCAAAATAAATTACGTTCATACAGATGTGTGTAAACTTCTAACCAGAACTCTATCATCTATGTGCAACTGATAACTGCTTCTGATTTGTTTCCGAACACTTGCAACAGTCTAACAGTGTGATTTTTTTTTTGTTTTTTTTTTAAACATCAGATTCTTACTATGACAAAAGCAATGGAATGGAAAATCTTAACCAGACACATGTGTAGGGTGTGAATTTGGAGTTGTTTCAGTTGCCATATACTTTCTAGACTCCATGGCACAGAAGATACTTTAAGTAAAAGGTGGTGATAGATGGGGCTGCCTGCTTTAACAAATGAGTAACCTTTAAACGACTTCTCAAATGCTATTTTAAGAGCTTACATATGAATCTAATATTTTGCCTGTCTAAATGAAATGTTAAAAAGAATGGATTGTATTTTTAATGCAACTTTTTGGAGCCACTTTTTTTAAAGAAAAAAAACGGAGCGTTAGAGGCTCTGTGGACGTGGACACTTTCAGGCACCACGGGCAGGGATTCCTTGCCACCTCCAGCCTTCTCAGTCTCCAGCTTCACCACTCGGTACCTCCAAGCTGAATGTACATCTTTGAAATATCTAAAACCTAAAGATTTTATGTAATAAAGTTGAAAGTTTTAAAGAAACATTGCGCTTTTGTTTTTTTTCCTTTTCCCAGCAAATGATGCATCAGCAATTTTAGTTTGGTGCAAAGATTCCTGGTTGTGTGTGTGTGTGCGCAGGGTTGCAACAAGCCTGAGCAGCTGCTCAGTAATGAGATGGCAGAGAGGCTAAGCTGGATCAGCTGAGTGGCTGCAGTCCTGCTGCTCCTTCTGTGGCTTCAGAAGAAAACCTCCAGCCTGAAAGTGGGGATTTACATACATCTGTATTTTCTCCTCTTCAGTTTGTGCAGCGTTGCTGACTGCTGATCCATTTAGTTATGATGTGGGTTGAGCAGTGGGGAGTTCGGCTGAGAAAGGCTCTCAGTAGCTGTATGCACACAATGACAGCCTTTCTTATTTGTTCTGTGCTTTTGAATGGGATTTCTGTGTATTAAAGGCTGTGTTTCACATGGGTCAACTTGTTGGCAGGGGAGAAGGATTTTATTTATAACAGTCAATCTTTATGTGGGTATATCTTATATAATAAAGCAAAATAACTGATGATTAACTTAGTCTGTTAACAGTGAAGCTTTAAAAAAAGTAGAAGTGTAAGGAGGGGAAAAATAGGGAGGGAGCTGGCAGTGGGTCAGCAGCAGACTCTTGAGCTTTGCATGGTGCAGAGCTGACGCACTACTAACACTCAGAGAGGGGAGGGGAAGGGACCGACAGCCGTGGCCAGATGGAGCTCTGTTTGTTTTTAAGCAGCTAACTGCTGCTGAGAGCAGGACACACTGTCGACTCTGGTGTCCATTAACGCGGGGAGAAAAAGACATCACACCCAGTTGGGGCAGTGACAGGTCAACGGACTGCTGCTGTTGTGTTGATGTGAGGACAGCTCTGCTCTGATGTAATGTGGAGGCAGTCTGCAGCTTCAAGGTCGAGAACCTCAGGAGGCTGTCCCCATCTGGATCTCAGGCCTCCAAAACTTCATGGGTTTTTTTTGTTCGAGTACCTCTAATTCTTATAAAGTTGTATTATGGAAGGCTGGACCGCTCTGAAGAGGATATGAACCCCAGATTGCTGTAAGCAAACCGTTATTTCAGTCTGTTTCTGTGACAGCAATAAAGGGAATGGGCCCGGCCTCACTGCAGGAGGAGAGGGAGCTGGGCAAAGAGTCTAAGGAGGAGATGGAGAGCTACCGTTGCCTTCTGCAGGCCGGCTCCCAGCTGCAGAGCACCCTACAGCGTAAGTAACATGATGCTGGCATGATAAATTATTTCTGACATTTCAGTGTAATGTTTATATCACCTAACCCCTTTTTCTAAACTTTACATTCCTCTGTGCATTCCAAAAAAAAAAGGCCTACTGCAACACAGCTCAGCCTAGTTTACCATCTGAGAGGAGGTAACTAGATGTGCAGCTTCAGTATTATTGATGTACTTCCTGCTGCTTTGCTCCAGCAGTGGGCCATCACTGGGATTATGGCAGCTATTTTAAGCCACCCACAGATGGATACCTTTTCAATCTATAGAAATGATTTAGGCTGGAAGCTCAGTAGAGTAGATTTTAGATCACTATAACTGAAGTTAATCTAGCCTGTATTGTTAAGAATTTATTGTACTTTTAAAAGTAGGTCAATATGTTTTATTACTTGGCAAAGCTGTTTAGCTTTACAATCAAAAATAAAGGACAGAGTGATATATTATACAATCTTCAAATTCTTGCTGATGGATGTTCACCTCTGTTGATGTTTACTGCTGGTTGAAGCTGGTGTGGATTTGACTGCTGAGAATTGAAATTTTATATTTCTCATCCTAATCTCCCCTATTCTAAAGGAATGCACATTGATAAACAAATTTCCACACTTTATGCTTGAGATTATTTAATAATTACAAAATATATAAAATAACAAAAATATACAAAATGACTGAAGTCATTTGATTATGTAATTAAATTGTTTGCAGTAACTGGTTGTGTATCAGAGATTAACTTGTAGTTGTGTTTTGGATCATTTTCTTGCTGCATAGCAAAATTGTTGATTGTAAAAGACACTTTAAGACCATAAATTATGGTTCAATCTGTCTCAGTGTGTCACTCTGTTTATGACTCCCTGATCGTCATCCAATCATCACAAAGTTTGACTGTTAATAGGACCCTCTGATTCTAAAATAATGTTAGTTTTACAGCAGATGTAACTGGAAACATTTTTCTCATAAGTCTACTGAGAATATTACCAACTCTTGGTATCGTAAAGAGGTTTGCTTTTAGCAATGCTTTACATATTAAAAAGTTTCCCCAATCTAGTATCTTTTTCTAGTTGTTAAATTATTAACACTAACTTTTGTCAAGGAAAATGAGCCCTGCAGTTTAGATATTATAGTTTTTGTGATGGCCTGAATTAGTCTATTCATTTTGGTTGGCTGGTCACTCCTTGGAAGTCTCCTCAGTGTTCCAGGTGGTCTTCAATTGTGGATAATGTTGTTTCCAAACTGGTTAATTTTAGAGCAATTGTTTCTCAACTTCATCAATACATATATTTTAAGTTTATTTTTAAATTTTAGGTAATATAATGGTGTTCAAAATTCTTTGCTCATCTCCATTTAATCAGACAAGTTCTTAAATGGACCTGACTAGAGAAACGTAACTGAAAGACAAATCTGTTTACTTAGAATGACCTTAAATCATTATTTAGACATTTATAGTTTTACACAGGATCGGGTTGTTTTTGGTAGATTTTTCTTATTTGAAAACTATTATATATATCAACATACCATAATAGAAAATAGTTCAGTGTTCTAAGGTGTGCCAACAAAAAAAAATATTGGGAGACCAAAGATTTAGTTGAACCAATATATAATTGATAAGCTCTTCTACATTCATACTAATAAATTTAATCTTATAATCCGTATTGCAATCTAGAAAGTATCTACCTGAAGGATTAGTGTTTGCTTCTTTGAATGGGAATGTAGTCATTTTGAAGTGCTGATTGACCATTTGAAAACACTATAGTAAAAAGATAAGCTTGGTTTAACACAATAACCAATATGAAAATGTTGCTAATCATTACATTTTTTTTTATCTTTCAGAATTTCAAAATTAAAAGAAAAAAAAACTAAGCTTTATAGAAATGACAAATAAAAAAATTGTAGAAAAAATGTTTTCTTGCAGACAAACTCTCAAAACCTTTAAGCTTAGGTCTATCAGATCTTCAACCTATTGAAAAAAGTAAAACTATGCATATTAATGTGGGCCCCTGAACTGATTTTACAATTCATGGTGTTATATCTTTTGTGACACTTTTCCAAAGAAACAAACAAAAACAAAATAGTAAAAAAGAATCTGGCAGTTAAATGTCACTAAGAATACAATATGTAATAGAACACAATGCATGCACTGCTGCAGGCATTGCTATTAGATTATAAGAGTATAAAGACAAAATCCTTGAAAAATGCTTTAAGGGTTTCTTTTTTTTTTTGGATGAGGGTCTTTAGAACTTACAATTAAAAGCATCCTTACCCCTTACATAGACTGGCCTTCCTTATCTAAAACCAATCCAGCTAAATGTACTGCATCCTAGGATGTGGAAACAGGCTTTTTTCCTCCCCATATTTCCACCAGAATCCTGTCACAAACCAGTCTAATCCCTAAGCATTTAAAGCTTCATTTAGCAAAAAACCTCATGACCTAAAAGCAGTATGAGGCTTGGCTTCATCATTCTGTGAAAATATGTGTGTGCAAGAGAGAGAGAGAGCATCTTGCTTACCTCACAAAGGATTAAGAGGGTCTTCTTTTTTTGGTGTCTGTGAAATCAGATTTGACACAGTATTTCTGGGTTTGTTCCCTCCATATCCTCTCTACACACATGTTTCACTTACATTTACTGTCCTGGACGCTCTTCTCCAAGATCTTTATTTGAGGGGACTGAAAGTAAAGGGTTTACTTGCACATAGTTTAGTGATTATTTTTTTTATTACCTGATTTAAAACTCATGCAGAAGTTATGCTTTATTAGGCTTTAACACTTTAGCAATTGATGATTCACACACCCCATTGTTTTCTATGGAAGTGTTGACTCATATTTTCATTTTCTTTTACCCTTGATTTTAACAAAAACATACTTTATTTTATGGAAAATAGTCAAGTTCTATAGTGCTTGTTAGAGGTGTACCGTGTGATGAAATTAGTGTCGATGGTTATCATTGTTTGTACAACAGAGATAAGCTTTCTGCCCTTAGCTTTGTAAGCACACTGAAGGGATTGTCTGAAGGAAATCACTGTTTCCATCCACACCGACAAACCTTTATTTTTTTTCTGTTTGTAAGAACCAAAGAGCAAACAGAGCTTGTTTGACTTTCATTTGCGCTCTCTGTCCTACAGAGTCCTGCATGTCATCTGAAAAGGTCGTGGTCAAACATTTCCTAGGAGAAAACGCCTATAACAACAGCACAACCTATTTCTTTTATGTGGTAAAAAAAATATTATCATTTTGACTTTTTCATATTATATCAAATTACAAACAAAACCTTAAAGTACATACAAGTAGAGCTTTGAATATTATAAAAACATTTTTTGTCACTTGTTTTATAATAAATTGTATATTGAATGGATTTAAACATAATCAGGGACAAGGAGGACTAAGGAGAAAAAGAACTTAACTAATGTTCAGTATTTATATATATATATATATATATATATATATA